TGACCCCCCAGGAAACGTCTCACCTCTGTGCTCCCCAACAAGGGTTCCGGTTCAATTACTCCATGTATAACATTTGTGTCATGTGACCTCTCTGGGGGTTGGTGGATATTCTGTCTCCGATGATACAAATTTTGGACCTTCATGTCTCTGTCATCTGCCGGGGAGCCAATCATCATCCTCCTCGCTGTACATGTGTGTGTCATATCAGTATAAGGTCTCGTTCACACCTCGGCGTATTGCATATGCGCGATTCGCGGTAAAAAAAGTTACGCGACCGTCGCGCGTTTCCAAAGGCTACTTGGCTGTATCCCAATGGAAACGCGCAACAAAACGGCCCAAAGTAGTCCCGGGACCTTTCCAGGCGCGGGCCGTTTTGTAACGCGTTAGGGACGGGCGGAAATACGCCGAGGTGGGAACCAGACCATTGACTACAATGCGATTTAGATGTTCGAGCGTTTTGTAGAGCGTTCGTCGAGCGTAGAACCCGCCACAGAACGTTCCGGTGTGAACCAGGGTTCAGTCTCCCTCATGGCGGACATCTTTAGTCCTTAGTTGAGCTCCTTCTGCTGCAGACGAGATGATTATCAGACGCCGGCTTCTGGCCTCCTTCCTGAGGAATCCAGTTCACTATTGTTCTCAGGTTTGCTGCAACCTCCTCCTTCCAATCCCGCCAGAGATGTTCTATGGGGTTGAAATCCGGCCCTGGTGGGGGCCACTGTAGAATCTTCCAGGACTTCTTCTGCAACCAGGTCTTGGTGGAATCTGAGGTCTGTTGGAAGGTCCGATGAGATCCAAGTCTTCTCCGAGGGTCTCCTGACACGTCTATGAATCCATCTTGGCTTCCACATGCTGCAGGTTTCCGGAGGATGCAGAGGGGCCCCCGAGCGTCGCCGAGCCACCACCATGCTTCATTCTTCTTCCTCCAGACACAGCGCTGATCCATCGGGCCGCATCGGTCCAGTTTTGTGTCGCCGCTCCGCGGAGCACATTGGAGGCGACTTGTCTTGTGGTTCTGGGTCAGTGATGGTGGAAACCTTACTGTGCAGAGGGACCCCTGAGAGCCCGGGGCCACCAAGTCCTCTGCAGTCACTGGAGGGGGGTCAGCCATTGATGGCTTCCATCTTGTGCCCCGTCCACAGTGTCACCATCGGGCCTTCAGAACCCATTCCAATCACTTTTATTGGTTTGAAAGTCTGTAAATTCTGCCAATAAACCTGATTTGGGGGATCAATCATTTTATCACAACTGTATGATGTGGCGGCACACACGCGGGACACACGCGGGACACAATGGGGGGGCTGGATTTTGCTGGACTATGCCTTTAACAGTCGCTGTGTGTCAGTACGATGCGTGTCAGTACGCTGCGTGTCAGTACGCTGCGTGTCAGTACGCTGCGTGTCAGTACGCTGCGTGTCAGTACGCTGCGTGTCAGTACGCTGCGTGTCAGTACGCTGCGTGTCTCTTCCTCGCAGTAAGCCGGACGTGGTGGATCCGAATCTGAAGCAGCAGCTCCTGCTCTGGAGGACTCCGGCCATTGTGAAGAAGATCGTTGCTTTCTTCATGCGGCCTGTGGTGAGCAGATCTCTTATCATGATGACTGAAAGTAACCCATAGCAACCAAGCACCGTTCACTGCCATCAATGGGGTATAGAATGGCAGCAGTGTCACAGATGGGAGGGGGGATGGAGTAGCAGCAGTGTCACAGATGGGAGGGGGGATGGAGCAGCAGCAGTGTCACAGATGGGGGGGGGATGGAGCAGCAGCAGTGTCACAGATGGGAGGGGGG